CAGTAGAACACAAGCTAAAAGCTAAATCCAGTAGAACACAAGCTAAAAGCTAAATGAAGTAGAACACAAGCTAAAAGCTAAATCCAGTAGAACACAAGCTAAAAGCTAAATGCAGTAGAACACAAGCTAAAGGCTAAATGCAGTAGAACACAAGCTAAAAGCTAAATGCAGTAGAACACAAGCTAAAGGCTAAATGCAGTGGAACACAAGCTAAAAGCTAAATGCATCAAAACAGATGCTAAACATAAATTCTACAAACTTGGGCTAAAATAAGGAACGTTGTATCTAAGAGCTAAAGGTCTGAAGATGAATCCTAAAAGCTAAATAAACAAATGAAAACCAGGTTTTAAACCGAACTGAAGACATTTTAATGGTTTTTAGTGGATTTTTATTTGAAGTCAAATTTTCTGAAAAGTAAAAAAATTACAAAAACCAGCAGCACCAGTCTACTGAAGGAGCCGAACCTTTTAATGTACAAACGGTTAAAATATCACAAACTCTGAGCAACAAGTTTATTTTATAAATATAAATAATCTGAAGAGCAGAAAACGCTGAGTCAGCGTTCAGTCAGTTCAACAGTGACCTCAGTTCTGTTGTTCACAACCTGCTGAGTCATCAGACTTAATGACAGTGATGAGCCAAATCCTTCAATGATACGTTCAAAACCTCAGACCAGAACCAACCAGACCTGCATCAGACCAGAACCAACCAGACCTACATCAGACCAGAACCAACCAGACCTGCATCAGACCAGAACCAACCAGAACTGCATCAGACCAGAACCAACCAGACCCCCACATGTGTTCAGTTAACACCATGTGGACCGGCCCAGTTCACCATGAAGACCTGAAGACTCTAAAACAACCACATCATCTGCATAAAGCAGAGCCAGACCTTAAGGTCCTGTCCTTGAGGACCCCAGACAGGATCAGAGACCAGGGCCAGTCCTGGTCCACCTGCACTCAGACAGCTGGACTTGGTGCTGAGGACTCGACTCTGGTTATTTAACGTTTGTTCTGTTTTAATTTCTGATTTTCATGGAAGGTTTTTAATTATTTGATGAACTGGTAATAAAACAAACTTTATTTTCATCAGACGGTTGTTTTGATCTTTGAAGAATCCTGTTATAATTAATACAAACAATCAGATTTTAGCTCGTTGTCAGTTTAGTAAACAAAAGCAGATTTTCACTCTAAATGAGTTGTTTTTTAACACTTGTAAAGTTTAATTTTAAGATGTATAAATA